GAAGCAAGTCCTCCGGGCCACACTCACATGGTGAAGTTCTCCTCCAGGAAGCAGCGGTTGCGCAGCAGGCCGGCCCACAGCTGCACGCCGATAATGCCAAAGATGAAGAAGACAAAGAAGCAGAGCAGGAGGACATTGCCCAGCATGGGCAGTGTGTCCAGGAGCAGGTTCACCAGGATCCGCATGCCTGCGGTGGGTGGAGGGTAGGGTCAGGCAGGGGCAGCGCGAGGGATATGTGAGGGGCTGAGGAGATGCCGGGGCACGCGGGCAAGGGAGCTCCTCTGGCTCCAGCCTGCTGTGAGCACCACATCAGCCCCCCTTTCTTGTCTGCACCTCTCCTAAAAAGCTGGGGAAATGGCTCTGGGCCCCGCTGCACTTACACTAGATCTCAGCTGAACCAGCAGGCATTTATGGGACTCTTCTAGGGCCACAGCCTCCCTCAGGCCTGTCGGGTTGGTAGCACCATCTCTATTCTATACTAGGAAACAACAGGAGGTCCAAAGAACTGAAGTGACGAGCCCATGGTCACAAAGCCAAAAAGCAGTGAGGTCTGGATTTAAACCACGTGGCCTGACACCAATGCTAGCCCTCCTTCCACAGCCCATTCTCTTACCCAGGCTGTTCCCTCTTTCTGGCAAACCCCTATTCAATCACTACCGCTCTGTGAAAGCTTTTTCTGGGAAGCCTTCCAGACCCTTTCTCAGCCCATCCCTGGCAGAGTTCATTTTTCACTCCCCCTCTAGGCCACCTCAGCACCTCTGACCAAGCCTAGGCTGCCGTGTACAGTTATGCAGGCTGTACACTGCACAACCTAAGAGATTCTGCTTGCATCAGCACTTAGCCTTCCAGCCTGAGGGTACATACAGTTGTCTGTCCTCCTGTCTCAATCTACTGAGCCATAAGCTCCTGGTTGCAGGGTCTGTGTCAGTCACTTCAGCGTTCCAAGAACCCAGCAGGTCCTGGCTCAGCCAACATCCCCTGCATAGTTGCTCATGAGTCATGGGAAGAGAGGAAAGCTGGGAGGGGAGAATGAGAGGCCAGGGACAAGTAGAACAGCGGTCCCGTCCAGATTTTCACTCACGCCAGGGGTGGTGCTGAGGTGGTTATTAACAAGGCTAATTATTTGGGATTTGCATCACGAACTCTGTGTGGAGTGATTTCCAATCAATAATTAATGCCCACCCCCATCTTCCCTACCCACAAAACTAGGTCAGCCTCCTCCCAGGGAGGCAGGGGGCCTCCCCAGCAGGCTGCTCTATCCCTCTGAGAGCTGCCTGGGAATTGATGCTCCACCTTCCCCTGCCCCCAACGGGGCACACGGTCCCTGGAGGGACCCATGCAAACAGGCCCAACTGAGTGAAACATGTGATCACTGGTCTTCCTGGTACCCTTCCATTGGTGCCCCCCCACACCCTTTCCTCAAACACCCAGTTGCCACCTGCTGTATGCCTGGCACGGTACTAAGCACCCAGAGAAGCCAGAGATGAACAAAAACTGGTTTGTTCCCATCTCCCCAAACTCACAGCCTAGCACCAGGGGGTGAACAAAAGGATCGTATCCGAGGACACATCACGAGAGAGGCTGGCTTTGAGTCTGCTTGCCAGACTAAGGAGCCGGCGTGGCCAAGAGACAGAGGTGATCACACAGAGAGTGCCTGTGGGGGGACCTAGAGGTCCCTGCAGAGGGGCCCTGGGAGTGTCAGGCTCAGAAGGCTGGTCACTGCTGTCTTCAGCAGATTTCCAAGCAGGAGGGGGTCTTGGTCAGCTCGAAAGGGGCAACACAGGCTGGGCAGAGGCCAGGGCAGCAGCTGGCAGTGGCAGGAGGAGAGACTGGGAAGAGGCTGTCCGCAGGCCAGCCCTGCTCAGGGCTGCTCCCTCAGCTGCCTTTGCTGCTCAATTAATTACCTTTCCCTTGTTCTGGGGATATTGAAATTCCGAAGGGCTCTGAAAACCTGCCCAGCTGCCTTCTCTGAATGGACCCGCCTCCTCCGCTCCTGGCTCCCGCTGCCCAGCTGGGCCCCAGCTCCCTCCAGAGCCCTCCCCTGGGGCCCTGGAGTCCCAGGGCCATGAAGCCAGGCATAATTAGCTAATTAGGGACTTAGAAGGCACTCACAGCCTCGATGCCAGAAAAAGGGGCCACGATTAGAGAGGCAGAGAGGAGCCCAAGAGACCTCAGCTAAGCCTTCTTTTATGTCCTTGGTCCAGTAATTACCAAGATGGGTGGGATGGTTACACTCTGCCCTTGTTCCCCTGGCCCCAGGCCCAAGAGGTGGAGGAGGTAGAGTTGAGGAGAGGAGAAGAACTAGAGGCAAAGAACTCAGTGAGGTGGGAGACAAGGGAGGCACACACACAACAGGGAAAACAGAGGAGACGAGACGGGAGGGGTGTGTGCAGGGGGGATAATGCGTGTGCAAATGCTCATGGTGGAGAGAAAGACAGACGGGCAGGGACAGAGAGAGCGCGCACCGCCTCCACGGCACCCTCTGCCTCTCTCACCCCCCACATTGCCCAGCCAAGCCCCCTTCTCCAGGCAGCTTCCCTGCTTCCTTCCACAGCCCCCTTCCCACTCACAGGGATGACTCACAAAGGGTGGCTGAGAACCCGCTCTGCTAGCCATGAATAGGAGGACCACCCAGGACTGATCTGGGTCCCAGGCCAGGCCAGGTAATTTAGAGGCAAAACTCAGCTTCTCTGGGCCCCAGTGGCCTCAGAAGGGGACAGTAAGCTGGGTGTGGTGGCCCATGCCTACAAGGCCAGTATAATGCCAGTACTCTGGGAGGCTGAAGCAGGAGGATTTCAAAGTTACTCACTGGCAAGGAGATCCTCACTCCCTGCCCTGTGCCCCACACCACACCCCTGCCTATCCCCTGCTGTCTCACTGAGATCTGAGGGCATGAACAAGGCCCAGGAGGGTGCTGCTCCCCTCTCTGCCCTAAGGTTAGGGACCCACCCCTGACCTCTGCTCCAAGGGAACCTGGGCAGCAATCATGAAGGGGAGGCCCCTCAGTGGCCATGGGGGAGGTAACAGGAGGAGGTACCCCTCCAAACAAGACTCCCCTTGGGGATTGGGGTGTTCTGCAGACAGAGCTGTCAGCGCAGAGAGGCTTGGCCACTCTGCCAGGCCAGCTCAGGTAGAAACCACCAGACACATGCCAGCCTGTGCTGGAGGTACCACCCATGGCAGAGGGGGATACTGAAGCAGTAGGGTGCAGGGTTGGGGCCCGGCTCCCAGGGCTCCATGCTCTCCGGTCTGGCCAAGGAGTCGGAGGGACCAAGAGGAGCCATCCACTGCTATTGCTGCTGTTAAAGCCAACTTGTCAGGGGCAGAATGGGTGCTGGGATCCCAGGCCAGGCTGTAAACGCTGAGTCATTGGGCCACAGCTGTCAGCCAGTGTCCCATGCCTGTGGCTCCTGACCCAGGTGTCTGCCTGCAGGAGGGGCCTTGGCTTAGTCTCCTCTTGGACCCCAGCTGGGCCTACCCCAGTCTGATGGCCCCAGTAAAAGAGTGAGTTAGTCAACACCAGTCCCCAGAGGCCCATGCCCACCCTGATCTATGCACCCAGGTCCTCAGCCCTGGACCCTCAGCACTGCTCGTGCCCAGCCCGGCCCTACATACCCCTTCCGCATCACCAGCTGCTCTTCCTTCCCCAGCCCCAAGTCATGTCTCACCAGATACCTGGTCAGATGTTCTCCATCTACCCACCGCCAGCCCATCTCCCTGTCCTTTCCTCCAGGGGCTGTCAGTAGCTGCCAGGGACAGACAACCCAAAGTCCCAGGTGTGGCCAGGGCAAGGGAGCGCCCAGGTATCATTTGCTGCCAATTCGGCTTGTGGCACAGTTCTTTCCCCCAGACCCCATCTAGGATAAAGCTCCCCATGTCTTTTTGAGAAAGAACCCCAGCCCCAACACCCACTCAGAGGTGGCTGGTAGCTTAGCCAGAACTGTGAGTCCACAGCCTGAACTTCAGGTCTGGCAGTCAGAAGCGATGTGGCCGGGGCCTGGTCTGCCACAGTGACTGCCCTGGTTTCTAACTGGAGGCAAACACACCTTCAACAGGATCAGGAAAACCAGGTGCAGAGCCACAGGTGTATAAGCCCAGCATGCTGGGAGGCTGAGGCTGGAGGATCACAAGTTTGGGCCCAGCTTGGGCCACTTAAGTCACTTATTAAAATTGTATCAAAATAAAAAATAAACGAAGGGCTGGAGCTGTAGCTCAGTGTGAAGATCTTAGGTCAATGCCCAGTACTGCCAAAGACCACAAAAACAGAAGGGGCTCCAAACAAGAGATCCCCCCTCACTCATCCCCAGCCTGTGCCTCTGTGCTATTTCCTGCCCTTCACTTATCAGAGGTTTGGCCAGGACAGACATTGCAGGGTGGCCCAGAAGGACTAAGCTTACAAGAGTCCTTAGAGACCACCCCAATGTCTGGGTCCCAGCTCATTTTGGATAAAGTTGAGAACCATGCATCTCATCTAGTCCCACTTCCTGTACTGTGCAAGGAGGGAAACTGAGGCCCAGGGAACAGGGCTTATGGTAGAGCTGAGACCAGAACTTGCATCCCTTGACCCCCACCTGAACCTTCCTGGCTGACTGTGTTGGGACTTTGCAACCTACGCTGGCTGGCTGGCTGGCTGGCTGGCTGGCTGATTTGTTCATTTGTTACGTGGTACTGGGGATTGAACCCAGAGTCTTTACACTGAGCTACACTCTGGGTCCTTTTCTAAATTTTAAAAGTATCTCATCAAGTTGCCCAGGCTAGGCTTGAACTTGCAATCCTCCTGCCTCAACCTCCCTGAGTTCTGGGATTAATCATGGAGCACCACTCCCTATCTCTGCAAAATTCTAAGTGGCAAGCTCCATCCACCCCCAAAAGACTTAAAGTCAATAATAGCCCCAGTTTGACTTCGCCAGGTACCCATTCTCTACCTTGCCATCTAGTGGCGAAACTGAGAGCTGCAGGCTACTGATGAACACATCGCAGGGTGGGTACGACCTAAAGATGGCATGGGTAGGAAGGCTTTCTGGGAAACTCATGTTTAGAAAGAGAACAGACCCACAGTAACCCTCCAGGAAGCACTTCTAGGAGCCCACACCCCCTCCCAAGTCATTCATTCCCTCGTGACTTTGGGAAGGGGCAAAAGCAAAGTGGAATCTGAACCAAAACGGATCCCAGAGAGCCACAGTCTCTACCAGTCTCTGGCTCCTGGTGATTTAAGGAATCGTGGACAGGAATTGATCTTAAGGTCCCTTCCAGTGAATGCCCAGTGGAGTTCTGGAGGTTAACACTCCAGCCTCTCTGGAGAACCCTGAACTCTTGGAGGTGGGGCTGATGCAGAGGAACTGGGTCCTCCCAGGGGAGCCATTAGCTGGGAGAAAGCCCTGAGGACAGGCGAGGCTTCTCTCTGCCTCTGTGGGTGCACAGCTTCTGTAATTGCAGCCTCTAGGAGTGCGGATGCTGGGCTTGTGGCTGATCCTGCCCTTCTCCAGAGAATGGGTGGGCTGACACTGGGGACAAGGAGTGACCTCCACAGCTAGAGCAGCTTAATGAGCTCCACGCACAGCAGGAGGGGGCACAGGCCACAGAGGGAAGGAGCGGTACAGGCGCAGACACACTCCCAAGAGTGCTCCCCAGTAGCAAGGACGCGTGGCAGACACGTGCACGCCCCCACAGGCACACCCCTCGGACTTGCACACACACCTGCACACTCGCACACAGCTTCACATGTGCACACCCTACCCGCATGCACAGTCCCAAATACACACTCAGGTGCACACACCCTCCCATACACTCTCACACGTGCACCCTCACACGTGCACACGTGTTCTCCCACAGGCACACGCAGCTCCTCGCCCCCACATGCAGAAGCACAGAAGCCACCCAGCCAGCATGTGACCCAAAACTTGAGTGTCTGTCCTGCGCCCTGGCCCCCTCCCCCTCCTACAAGCCCCTCCCACTGCTGTGGCCCGGCTCCGACCCCCCAGGCTCACAGTGGGAGATCCAGGTTCTCAACTCCCCCTACCCAGGACACAACCCTCAGCACTGCACACACAGCCCTGCAGGCTGACAGGCCTGTAGGCCTCACGATGGGAGTGCGGTAGCAGGGTACATGGCTATCTCCTGAAGGACAGAAATGGGGAGCCCTGGCGGGGCTCCAGGAGAGGCAAGGTCCCCTGCCCTGCACCCTCAATGCTGTGACCCCACAACGCTGAGTTGTCCATGCCTGACACTGTCCAGACTGCAGCCGGCCCAGGAGTGCCTCCCTCCTCCACCCACTCGCTGCCCAGCTTCTGCAGCCCCTCACCCTCGTTCCCCAGGGCGTCCTCTTGGACCCCCACGCCATGTGTCCGGCCAGCTAACTTCTCGCTCAGGCACACAAGATCCCCACCCTCTATCGTTCAGCCCTGTCCTCTCCACCCTGGCGACCCTGTGGCGCCCAGCCCTGGCCCTGTCTGCTGCCCAGAGAGCCCAAAGGTTCTGGAGGGGCTCAGCTCAGACCACACCTCTTCAGGAAATTCAGGCCGCGCAGCCCTCGCAGCCCACCACTGCTGGCGGAGCCCTCGAAGCCGGTAGTCCCCGTACAGGCCGACTGCTCTGCGTGCTTGCTGGGCGTGCACGCCACGACACACGCATGGGGCAGGGGGTGCCTTCTTGCCAACCGGCACAGCTCCGGGCGCGGAGCAATGAAGTCCACCTTTTGGCCCATTTCTTGGCAAAGGCAGGTGGGACGTGAGGGACAAAAACACATATGGTAAGGGAGAAGATTTGCTTAGAAGCTTGGTCCCTGCTGCGGTTCAGCTGTGACCCGCCGGGGCATGGCCCTATTTGGGTGGTGTCCCTATCTGTTAGATGGGGAAAACGTAGTTTTGAGCAAGGCTCTCTAAGGAGCCTGCTGAGATTGTGCACCACCTCTCAGGTGGAATGCCGGCGGCGGAGAGGGCACTGGGTAGGGCCAGAGGGCGGGGCTGGGGCGGGGCCTGCACTGACTGCAGGGAGGAGTCAAGGTACACATGGGGAAACCGAGGCTCAGGCAGGGAAGAGGAGCAAGGACCCTGACCGAGCCAGGGAAAGAGGTGCAAGACAGAAAGAACTGTGTTCTTTCCAATCGCTGTCTGCCTTTGAATCGCTGTGTGACCTTGTGGGAGCCACTCAAGCTCTCTGGGGGTCACACAGGCTAGAGGAGGAATAAATCAGTCATTAATTTGCCAAGTGCATGGACCATGGCAAGGTGCTTGCACAAGCTGTTGTCGTTCCCCAAGAGGACAGAAACCCCCCTGTAACCAGGATCCTCCTCCTCCCATCCCAGATCCCCAGGCCACGCCTGACAGGGGGCCTTGGAGGGGCTGGGACTCGAACTATACCCTGCAGCTGTTGCTCCCTAGTAGTGGGTCCTCAATGGGCACCTGTGTCTTCAAGTCTCCAAGTCTGTTTCCATCTCTAAGCTGAGAACAGGACACCCCACCTACGCTGGGGCACTTGTGAGGCTCCAGGACACCCCACCCACCCCAGGGCACCTGTGAGGCTCACAAGAACTGGAGATGCAAATGGGATAATCCTGGGCAGATATCAGGGCTTGTGGTGACAAGCTGACCTCTCTTAACACTGAGGGTGCAAGGTAGATGAATCAGATAGAAGCATGGAAGTACGGATGGATAGGTAGGTGAAAGGGATGGATGGATGGATGGATGGATGGATGGATGGATGGATGGATGGATGGGTGAATGGGATAGATTGGTGGATAGACAGACAGACAGACAGACAGACAGACAGACAGACAGATGAATGGGGCAGATGGGTGGGTGGGTGGGTGGGTGGGATGGATGGATGGATGGATGGATGGATGGATGGATGGGACAGATGGGTGGATGGATAGGTAGATGGATGGGTAGATGGATGAGTGCCTGGGTGGAAGGAGAGAAGGAGGCAAGAGGGATAAATAGATGGATGAGGGGGTGGATAAACAGAGGAGTGAGTAGCAAATGGTCCTGGGGGTGGATGAGTGACAGCTCAAGTCAGCACAGGGAAGGGTCAGGACTCACTGCCCTAGCGGAGTGCTGCACCCTCCTCACGCTACACAGCTCTGCATCCCCTGAAGTCTGAGAGGCCCACTCCCACAGGCACCTTTTTTCCTTGAGCAGTCAGACCCCTAGGATACTGCAATACAAGTTATTTTGGAACGCAGGCCTCAGGGACCCCCCTGCAGTGTCTTTGCACCCAAATGCAAGACCACTTCCATCCAGGCACAGCAAGCACAAGAGTGAAGGAGCCAGGTGGCCAGGTGGGCCTGGATCAGGGTCAGGAACAGGGAAGGGCGACTCACTTGGTACACGGTTGATGGCTTTGAGGGGCCTCAGGACACGCACAGTGCGGATGGCCGACAAGTTGATGTTCTGAAGGTCCAGGGAGTACTCAACCATCCTGTGGAGAGAGGGGACCAGTGAGGATAGTGCAGATGTGACCCTGTAGGGGTCTCTGGCCACCCCACCCACCCACACCTACTCTGAATTAAGTAGTGTGGCCTTAGCTGTCTGCCTGGGCCTCCATGTCACCCTCTGTAAACAGAACTGGTGACAGCCACCACCAATTGTGGGGAGGATTCCAGACACAGTGGAGCAGAGGGGGTGGAAAGAACAGAGACTATTTGGCCCCCACTGTGAGGCCAGCACTGGGCCAGCCAGGCAGCCCCTACCCTTCTGTCCATCCTCCTAACCCCCAGCTTGTGTGAGCCCCAACTTCTAGAGCTTCTCCTCAACCTGCCAGGCCACCCCATTAGCCCATTCCTGAGTGGAGAGTGGAGGTGCTAAGCTATCCCCAAGCCGACTCCTGTCCATCCTGGTCACAACAGGAGCTATGCCCTGAACACCTCACCAACACCAGGAACCCATCAAGCCGGAAGCCAAAGCCCTGATCTGCAGGGGAGAGGGGGCTTTCTGTGCCCTGGGTCATGCAGCAAATGGACAGAGATCTACACTCAGGGTCCCACCAGGTCTGGAGCTGCGGCCCTACTCCATGCTGTACAAATAAGGCAGCTCATGTGCACTCCAAGCCAGGGCAGCAAAGTACAACGCTGTACTTTGTGGGTCCAGCCCCCCCCCACATCTACAGCCCAGGGCTCTCACTCACACCATCCCTTCTGCCCAGAGGGCCCCCCATCCCTGTCCAGCTCATGCCTCAGCTTCTCTGCAGGGGCCCTGGAGTCCTCAGGGCCTTGCCTGAGGAGATGCCCCCTCCTATGAAGCCAGCCCCTGCCCCAGGAGCACCCAGGCAGGCAGAGAGACAAAGGCTAAGACAGCAGGCCCTCTGCACTACCCTGGGTCTTCCCTCCTCCCTAGGCAGCTGCCACCACCCCCCCCCCCACCCCGTCCACACCCCCAGCCATTTTGGGGGACCTCCAAAAGCCCCCTGTGCTTCTATCAGATCCTACCTGCCCCTGCTATCCACCCCCCATGGAGGCTCAGCCCCCACACACACTGGGCCTGGATCACCAGCCCTCCCTTGCCCGCTGGCTCCACCTGTCCCCGCTTTAGCATCAGCGCCAGCGGGAAGCAAAGGCTGTCCTCACCGCCTGCAAACCTGTCCCTGTCCCACCCCCTCCTGCTGCGCAGAGAGTGATTGATTGAGCGGAAGCTGCTTTTCCTGAGATGCCCCTGTCCCGCCCCCGCTCCTCTCCACCTGCACACAACTGTCTTTGCGAGCGCGCTCACACACACTCCTCGGACACCATCATGCACGCGCGCTCACTCCTACTCAGCCCAAATTCAGAGAGGGGTGACCCAGAAAGTGACAGACTAGAACCTGAGACAAGAGACTTGGGGGGCCCAGGAGGGCGAGGGGGGAACAGAACGAGGGGGAGTGGCCCTGGGGGCGCAGCAAGGGAGTGGGGCTGGGCGAGGATTCCTCACGCGTGGGTGAGCCAAGCTGTCATCTTTGTATTTAGTAGAAAGAGTTCTCCAGGGAGACACGTGTGGCAGAGGGGCTGTGGGGGTGGCGTGTGAGCAAGCACACACCAGGCTCACTCTGACACATGCACATCCGGGGCCTGGGGAGCCCCCTGCAAGGCAGCCAAGCCCAGCTCACACACACACACACACACACACACACACACACCCTCCTCCTGCACCCAGGTTCCCTGGATCTGGCCAAGCATGGGCATCAGCTCTGCACCCAGGCTCAGGTGTACCTCGCCAGGCACACTGGGGTCCCCAGCCCTCGCAGACCCATCCACCCATGCCCCATGTCCCAGGGCCCAGAGGGCATCCTGCCTGGTGCTAGCAGTGCCCATTGGAACTTGTGCTTCACTGGCTGGGCACAAGCTAGGTAGAAATGAATGGATGCCCCATAGGTGGCTGGAAGACAGGGCTGACTTGTGCCAGGCACTATCCTAGTGACTTCCTGTGTCACATCACTGAGACCCCCATGCAACGGTGGCCCACTCTCCTGGCCTTGCCCCAATCTCTCTCCATTAGCCCTCCAGCAGCACAGGTCCTGGTCACAAGCCACTGCCACTCTCAGTGAAGAGTCTCAGGTCAACCCTGTCTGTCCCCAACTCCTGTCCCACATTGCCAGTGGCTCTTAGGGCAAGGAACAAGGCTGCCCTGAGCAATTCGGGAATCTTGGTGAGAAATAGTGTTTGTTGGCTTTCTGTATTTCTTCAGAACAAGGGGAAGTGGCTGGCAAGGGGGTCCTGTGTGAGACACAGCCAACCACTGACCACTGTGGAAGCCCAGGATTGCCCAGGCAATGCACTCTGGGAGTCGAATGCCTCCTGCACGGTCCCTTCCATGGGAAGCTGATTAAACTCCAGGCCCCTGCCCAGATCGGCAACCCCTGCAGAGAGGACCTGAAACAGCCACTACCTAGCAGTGCACGGGGCACACCCAAAGACTCAGAGTCTGGACAGACCCGTGTGGGGCAGACCTGGCTCCCCTTTACTTCACCCCAGCCCTAATCTTTCAGGTCTTGAGGCAGGAATGTACTTTCCAGGATCTGCTGCAGAAATTCCCTGAGTAATGGGGAACCTTGCTGGGTTCCCCAAAGAAAAGCACCCCCTGAGGAAAAATTCTTGTAGCATTTAGTGTTGTCTTAGCGCTGAGCTTCCTGGAAGCCAAGTAGAATGAGGAAATGAGATGCTAAGTCCTCAGAGCCTGAAAGATCTTGATACTGTGAATCTCCCCAGAGAGCCCATTTGCCCAAACATTTCTCCTAGGTATTAACCTCCTACATTTCATGACCCTCCCAGGGGTGCTCTGCTCACACCATCCCTTCTTATCCCATCTGGGAAAGGACAAGGACAGGAAAGGAGACAACAGACAAGGATGGGGAGATGCCAGTAAGAGCAGTAGCTGGCAGCCTAACTTTCTGTCCTGGGGACCCCATCACCCTGCCAGTCACTTGTGCTAATAAGCCCACCCCAGGACAGCTGCTGGTAGCTGGGCCAACCATGACCCAGGCTGTCACCAGCTCTCTTTCCCGACAGCTCGGGCCTCCGGCTCCTCATCCCTCAGCTACGCAGGCACAGTCAAGCAACTCAGTCACATCACTCCCCTCCTCTAAAGCCTCCGTGGCTCCCGAGTGCCCTTAGAACAAAGCCCAGGCCTCTAAGGCCCCGCCCCGTCCGTCCAGGCTTTGCTCCTCCCGAGTCCAGCCTCCTCCTCCGGGGAGCCTTTTCCCTCCCCTCACCAGGCCAAGACCCACTGCTCTGCCCCAGCTCCTCTAGAACTGCTCACACTGCAGAGCCTGAGCCCAGAACCTGGGGACAGGCATCTATCTACCTGGGAGGTGGCCCCAGGAGCCACAGGGAAGCAGGGCATGGGAAGAAAAGCCAAGGGGGAGATGGTCGCCAGGAGGTCACTACATGGGCTGCTGGTGCAGCGGCACCCAGGGGCCCTGAGAGCTACTCACAGTTGGCCTTAGATCTGGACCCTCAGAGGGTGGAGGCTGACTGGGGGGACATCAGCCAGCTGGAGGAAGGGCAGCTCCAGGGGAACTGGTGACACTTCCCACTGGCAGCCAGGGCACCATCCCCAGGCAGGGGTCACCTGCTGGGGTGAGGGTGCCCGGGCTCCAGTGGCACCCTATGCTGCACAGCCCCAACCCATCTCCCTCAGGCCTTTACACACACGCACACACGCACGCACGCACGCACGCACGCACACACATCGCCACCCCCAGCAGGCAGTCAGGAAGTATCTACCATGAATAATGCTTCCTACTTTTGGCCAAGGCCACCTGTGAGGAGGAAAAAAACCATCTTCCCCCTACTCCTCCTGCCCCAGTGACAATGCAGGCACTGGGTCCCCAGGCCCAGCTTCCAGGAAGACAAGGTAAGGTAGGGACCACTGAGTGGATGAGGAGCCATCGGCTGGCTTCCCTCAGGCCCCAAATGAAACATCACTTTCAGGAGTGAGAAATTAATTCCTAATTACGCACTCACTTTATCACAAAGCTTCAGTGCTAAAAGTCTAAAAAAAAAAAAAAAAAGACCAACAAACCCCCACTACCTCCTGGCAGCGCCTAATTAGGTAGGTAATTTGGCTTTCAAGCAAGCACTTCCGTCCTGGAGCCAGCCCCGGAGAAGGGTTCAGCTCAGTTTCTGCTGAGGGCCAACAGGACAGGGTTCGAGGTGGTGTCCTGAGCCACGAGTGGCAGGGAGGTGGTGTCAGTTCTTAGGATGACCTCCCCAGTCCCTGCTGCAGAGCGCCTCCCCGAATCCTGGCTCCTAGGAGAGGCTTAGGGCGCCAGTGGACACTGTCTTGCAGCTCGGAGGGCTTACCTGAGTCCTCGCTATCAGCCAAGGCTGAACATCTTCCCTCTTGTCACCTCTCAAAGTCAGACTAGGGCGCCTCCAGCAGAGCAGGAGGCCCAGGCTCAGAAAGTGTCCCAAGGGACACATCCAGGGAAACTGTATGCGGCACCTTTCTGCCCCTGCTGCCTCAGTCACCAGTTCCGGCCACCTTCTCCCTCACTGGCAGCTCTCTCTGCTGCCCGGGTGACTGGAAAGTACAAAACACACTGCAGTTTTGTTGTCACCTGGTCCACATTTGCCGATGAGTCCCATGATTCTGTTTAAACCCTTGTTCGGGTCACGCAACCGGCCAGAGTAAGTGGAGGTAATAAGAGCCGAACAGGCCCCGACACTGAGCTGTGGCTGCCCGCAGAACTCGTGCCCAGCATGAGCCCAGGGGTCCGGGCATCCCTGGCTCAGACAGCACCAGGCTGTCTCAGCCTCCCTCCTCCTCCCTGCAGCACCTTCTGAGCCTCCCAATCCCCAGCCCTCACAGAGTTGGGCTCCGCTGCCTTCCAATGTCCCCTGTGCTTCTGAAGCCACCGTGGCTGGGAGGCAAGTCCCTATATATGTCCCTGATGCTCGGGGCTGCCTCTGATTCCAGCTGGGTCCCCGGCGCCCGGCCCAGGCGGGC